ATTGACACCTCCTGAAGTTTCAAAAATATGCATTAACACCCCTCTAGACTTCTGAAACCATATGAAATTACATTTTAACCCTTTGACTTGTCAATAACTCCTTTTAAATCATAAAATTACAAATTTAACCTCCTAAATAAATTTAATGGATCAAACTAACATCTCCATCTCTTCTATACATATAGATATGATTTATATATAATAATACTTATACCATCACAACACAAAAATAAAAAATTAAATTAAATTTTTTTGAAATAGCTAGATATATGTACACCACCATAACCACCACCACAACATAAAAATAAAAAATAAAAGAAAATTAATTTTTTTTTTTTTCAAATAGTCAGATCAACTATACACCACCATAACCACAACCCCAATATAAAAATAAAAAAGAAAATAGAAAATTAATTAATTTTTTTTTAAATAGCTAGATAACTATATACCACCACACTCAACACCACAACTAAAAAAAAAACAAAAAAATTGAAAAAGCCATGACTAACCTATAATTATATGTGCTAAATGGCACATGAACCACTACCATACTTATGTATAAGAGAGTTAAAAATTATGATAGAGAAAGAGGCTTAATGACGATGGTAGTTTTGTTAATTAGCAGAACTGGTATTTTGTAAATTAATTGAATTAAATAATCAGGAGCAAATATGACATTTGAAACCACATGGGGTATCATTGTTAAAAAGGCCGTTGACTCGCATCTGAGTGACATTGACCGAAACCTCAGGGGGTGTCAATGCAATTTACTCTTAAGTAATTTATTAATTTTTTATGAATATATTGTATAAAAAAAAAGGGGTATTTTTTATGGTAAACAAGTTTTAAGTGAGTACATTAAGTTTTATTACAAACAGTGATGTTTTAATAATAAATTAATCATTTTAGAAAATAATAGTTACAAATCTATTTTTTTATTTTTTCATTTTTTATGATAAATTGATATTAATAATAAAATTAAGATAAATGATATAATTAATATTTGGATAATAGAAAATATAATAAAAATAGTTTAATAAGAAATGACAAATATAATGAGAAAAGGTAAAATAGTTTTTTGTGATGGATTTGTCCTCAATTGCAATAAATCAATAATTCAGTGAGCAACTTGTAGTTCAGTGTTATTATTTTTAAAAGGACAATAGTTTAGGAGGATTTTTTACACTTTATCCTTAATTTTATCTAAATATAAAAACTAAAATATCCCTTTTGGCTATTTTAAAAATCACAACTTTCTTCATTTTATAAAAAATCACTTTCCATTTCTTACTTTGATATTAAAAATCTTTCCTTTCAAAAAAAGTCATTCCAAATGAATGAATGCATACACGGATGAGTTTTCACTCGAATTGCGCGGTACACCTAAACAAATGAACTCAGCAATTATTACTTGAAACTTGAAAGAAGACAATAAAGAAAATGCTTACCAGTTGGTTGGTAACATCATTATCTAGTGTATCTACGGTATCTTCAAACGGGTGACTTACTGTTGTCCAGTGACATCCAACTGTGAGACGATGACAAATTATTCATAGGGAGTCAACTAAAATCATTTTTATTCTTAACCATATCAAACCAAATTGAATGAACCGAACGCCAACCAGATTTGATTTGACTTGACTAATTTCAAGCGTAAGGGGAAAGAAATTACTAGATGTTCTTGAGTATTACTCTACTAGTTTTCGGGATGATTATCCATGTAAAAAAATATATATATAACTGACATATAACAAAAATTTTCTTACTTAATGAGTGTATATAATCATCAGAGGATGAAATTCAAGCTTATAAATTCTCTCCAACATAAACCTTTCGTTAACATATTAAATATTTGTCGTAGAAAAAAATCGAAAACTTAGTGCTGTCGGAGAGGGAAGAGCAAAGTGCACAAAACCTTTCGTTAACACATTAAATATTTGTCGTAGAAAAAAATTGAAAACTTAATGCTGTCGAGAGGGAAGAGCAAAGTGCACAAAATATGAAAAAGAAATAGGTTTTTTTTTTTTTTTAGTTGGTACTCACGCACATATGTCTCTATTAAGGCTCGAATTTTTGACATTTTTTTGAGAAGTAAGGCAATATTGAAAGGCAGTATTGGCATTATAAAAAAGGTAAAGTGTAAAAAAAAACTCCTGAATTATATTTGAATTTGTAAATAACCCACTTGAACTATATTTTGTGCATAATTACCTCTAAACTATCACAGTTTGTTGCAAAAATTTTCAATGTCTAGACTATATTTCATTAAATAGCCATTATGCCATTTCTTATCGAATTACACTTAATTTATTTTTCTTATTCAAATAAATTATGAAAAAATCATGCTATTTTGATGACATATTCTCTATTAATTTTGCATAAATTTACCTTTAATTTTTAAAATTAATTGTTTAAATAAAAGTCTTAAGAAGAAAATTTGAAAATAATTTAATTAATTCCTTAATTATTCGTGAATATATTACATAAAAAAAGAAGGTATTTTTATTTAAGTAATTTAATAAATTTTTATCAATATATTGTATGAAAAAGAAGGTATTTGATTTATATAAAAAAGTATTTTTTACGGTAAAAAAAAAAATTAAACTAGGTATAATAAGTTTTATTATAAATTAAAAAAATTTAATAATAAGTTAATAATTTTAGAAAATGATAGTGTTACAAATCTATTTATTTTTTTCATTTTTATGATAAATTGATACTAATAATAAAATTAATATTTAGATAAGAGAAAAGATAATAAAATAATTTAATAAGAAATGACAAATTTAATGAGAAAATAGTAAAATAATCTTTTACGATGAGTTTGTTCTTAATTACAATAAATCAATAGTTTAGGAGGGCAGTTTTTAATTTAGGAGGGTTATTTGTAAAATGACAATAGTTCAAGAGTTTTTTTTGTACTTTACCCTTATAAAAATATATAACAAGTTACATGCTTTGAGGGTTGGCCGAAAAGTTGCAGGAGGTCACATTCAAGGGGTAAGTTGCTAAAAATTATGAGACTGATTTGCTCACTTTGATATTTGAAAAGAGTATTTTGTTATTAAATGTCAAAAATTTTATGCCACTTTTGCCTAATAAGAAAAAAATGGCAAAGTAAAATAAAGCCCCATCGACTATCGAACTTTTTCAATAAATTCCCATTATCTAATTTTAAAAGAATCCCCTCCAACTTTTCGAGGCGATTGGGGGGGGGGGGGGGGGGGTAAAACGGAAAGCTTATGAAATAAGAATTCTAGAAAGATAAGATTGCAACAAGCCATCATAACCAAAGATAAATAGACAATCTAAGAATCTGCTCCAGTAATATTATTTTTAAAAAAAATACTCGAAATATTTGTAAGAATTTTTTTATAATTATTCATTTGCATATGCAGCATATCATATAAAAAAATTAGTCCAAATAGAGACTGATTTCATATAGTGTGTCAAGGTATTTTCATTTTCTTATAATAATATATGAAATTATGAATTTCGGATGAATTAAGATTCAAATAAAAGATAATATTTTAGTACAAACATCCACTCTTTTACTCCTAAAAATAATTGGAGGGATTTCTTTAATAAAAAATGAGTAGCGATAGTTAGAACAAACACTTGTAGTCAATTGTCTAACCCAATAATTTTTAATTGCCTATTTATATCTAAGAGGAGGGTTCGACTTTCTTATTTGTTGCATAATTAACCAAACTGCAAGAATCATTTTTCATAAAAAATTAGACAAGGAGTTAACTTAGCCAAGGCAGGTTATTGTAATTGGTTATTTATATTAAATACAATTAAGTGCAGTATTCCACTTTTTTATTTATTTCATAATTAACCAAATAAAAGAATAAATTTAACAATTCACTGCAATTATCACGTGCAACAATCATTTTCAATAAAAATTTAAGCAATAAGTTGACTTAGCCAAAGGCAGGTTATTGTACTTTGCCGAAGGAAAAAAAACAAGATAACATAGGGAAGAGTCCAAAAATATTTAATACGGAGTAATACTATTAAGGGTGAATTGCAAAAAAAACCCTTCAACTTTCACCCGTTTTCAAAAAACCCCCCTTATGAATATTTTTAATAATTAATCCCCCTCAACTATCTTGAGGAGTTATTTTAACTAACCTTTGTTAAAGTAATTGTGTGATAAAATTTTCGGACGAAGTTACTCTTAAAATCAAAACAATACATTAGTATTACTAAAGTATCCACCACTCACTTTATTTTTATTTTTTTAACGGCATAAAACACTGAAACGAGGCCTTTGATTTTTTCTTTCCAAATGTTATTGCATTTGGAATATATATACTAATATGGTAGTTATTTATCAAATGCCAACTTAAATTGATTTTGGTGAAAAGAAAAAAAAAACCTTGTACCATGATTTTTTATAAAATAAGATAAAGAAAGATATATATATACTAGAGATTCAAAAATATCAGTACCATGATCTTTTTATAAAATTTAAAAGTAGAAATTTATAATATTCTAAAAAATTATGGATATGTTAATATTTCACACTTGTTTTTTCATTTTTTATATAGTCAAAAAGATATTTCACTTAAATAACAAATATTTGTTTAGACTATCTTTAATTATTTATTTATTATGTAGAAAAAGCGTTTATTATGGCATAAAATTTGATTTATTTCAACATCATAAATCTTAATCCCAATACTTTTCTACTAAATTGTGATATGTTACACATATACACACATATAAAAATAAAAAAAGCCACTTCCTTCTCATTATGAGATGATTTTGTCATGTAGTTTGATAAATTTTTACTTTTAAATTTTATAAAAAATAATGGTACTAGTGTTTTTGAATCTTCCGTATATATTTCTTTCTTTATCTTATTTTATAAAAAATTATGATACAAGTTTTTTTTTTTCACTAAAATCAATTTAAGTTTACATTTGATAAATAACTAATATATTATTGTATATATTCCAAATGCAAGAACATTTCAAAAGAAAAAATCAAAGGCCTCGTTTTAAATCTGAATCTGAGGCCTCGTTTAATTACTAATGACCTCTGCTCTTTTTTTTTTTTTTGAGGTGAAAGTCCATCGCAACTCGAAATAGAATTCACCTGCTTGAGGTAAGAAGTCTAAACTCACACTCCATACCACCGGGAGTAGGCGTGAGGGTCAGTTTCAGTTTCAAATTGAAAACAAATATTTCCGTTGACCGGTGTGGCTTATTATATATAATATGAGACGATGTGGTAGGAATAACAAACACCGAGTGGGTGAGTATCATAGAGAGAGAAAGAGCGTTAACGTTTATTGGTTGAAATGGCCGGAGTGCAGTCGCGAGGGAAGTCCATCCGATGCAGAGGTAGGCAAACAATCTTTAGATTCACAAAATGATTTGTCAATTTAATTTTATCACTCTCTCTCTCTAAAAGACGTACGTAATCGTGTATATATATATGTATATGTATGTAATGGTTTTGCAGCTGCGGTTGCTCGGAAAGCAGGGGAGCCTCTTGTGATAGAGGAGGTGATGGTGGCCCCTCCCCAGCCTCGAGAAGTTCGCATTCGGATTATCTGCACCTCTCTCTGTCACAGTGACATCACTTTCTGGAATTTGAAGGTAAATCAAATAAATGCACACCCTCTCTCTCGATATACCATACATAGATGTGTATGTATGTACATATCAAAAAAATAATTACAAATTTCATTTTCCTTCCAAGGATCCTCCTGGATTTTTCCCCAGAATATTCGGCCACGAAGCTGTCGGGTAACTCTATCCTCTTAATTATCGGACCCTTGTTTTTTATTTTTATTTTTTAATATTTAATATTTAATGTAATCAATTATATATATATATATATATATATATATCCATATTTAATGCTCGGTCGTCTGTGATCTGTCCCCTCTTCATTTATTTATATTGGGTAAAGTGCAAAAAAACCCCTTAAAATATTGGCCATGTGCAATTAACCTTCTTGAACTACAATTCGCTCCCTTGAACTATTAAATTTTTGCAATTAATCCCCGATGTGACATCTGAAGCCAATTGGTGATAACCAAAATAACCAAAGACAATTTTACCCCTATGTAAAACTATGTCATTTCACTAAGCATTCACTAGAAATTGAATCAAATATTACATAATAAAAAATAAAAAAAACAAAAGTTTTGCTGGATTATATTACTATTTGTTACCCCCAACACTTGGCTGCGACTTATGAACCCTAGAGTGAGCAGATCAACACACCAAAAAAAATTGCTTAAAATTCCAAAAAAAATCCACTAGAAATTGGACAACACAATTCCAACCTTCCTTTCTCTCTCCAGTCTGCAAATTCTGGCTACATTTTTATTATTATTATTATTATTTTTTTGGGGAGAAATTAAAGATTGTAGCAACAGTAGATTGATTTGGTTCAGCATCATCTCCACCATTATCGGCGTCGCCGGAATTGCGTCACCATAATTGAGCCTATCCTTGCCGTTGTCAAGCACCGGGAAGGAACGGAGGCTGATTTGGGCAAAGCCGCCATTGTTAAGTAGAGGAGAGGAACGCAAGCCGGACCAGTGCTGGGTCAGTTCCGGGAAGGAGCGGTGGGTCAATTTTTGGGAAGCCGCCGCGGTGCTTCGCTACCGCCGCCGACGACCTTCGGTCTCCTCTCTCTCCACTGGTTTTACTCCAGTGAACCGAATCGATGATTTCTTACTCTGCCGATGAGCGACAGTGGTTTTCCATGTGTCGAAGGTGTAGTTGTGGGGACGGTGGCGATGGTATCATCGGTGGGGATTGCGAGGATGGTGGAGGAGTTGGTTTCGATTGTGACGCGAATGGCCATGGCGATTGTGATGGGTATGGATATGGACACTGAAAAAGATAGTGATTATAACTATATACACATATATATCTGTCTGTATTGACGATGAACAGTGTGTATTTAGCATAAGGGCGTGTTTAGGTGTTTTAAGTGGTTTTGGGTGTAAAAGTAAAGAGTTGTATGGTCATTTAAAGAAATTTAGGTTGTCACGTGACCTGTCATGTGCTACTTCATGGTCAAATTCAACCGGCTTATCACCGGATGGGGTTAATTGCAACAAATTGGTAAGTTCAAGGGGGTTATATGCCAAATTATTAGATGAGGGGGGTTTTCTGCCAAATGGCCAATAGTTCAAAGGGGTTTTTTTGCACTTTACCCTTTTTTTTTTTTTTGGGCCATTGTTATTGTATGGAATGATCCTTTAAATAATTGACAATGAAAATTAGAAGTTTGTTGAGAAAACTATATGAGTGAAAATGGAAAGATGGTAGTAATTTAGGGGTGGCAATATGGTAGTATTAGGGGTGGCAATCGGGGTGCACACGGTCCAGTTTGGATCGGATTGGGAGTGTTTTGGGACCAAATCATTTATAACGGTTCCATTATTTTTGAAATCAGACCGAACCATAATGTTCATAGAACCAAACCAAACCAAACCAAACTGCGAAAAATCGATTTGGTTCGGTTCGGTTTGTCCGTTTCAGTTGATTTCTTTTTTATTTTATTTTAATTTAGAGGGGACAAATTTTTTTTAAAAAATCAACTAACATTGATATAACACGCAAAAAAAAAAGAATTTTAAGAAGAAATAAAGGAAAGAAAATTGAGATATATTTGAAAAGGGAAATTTGACTTTTTTAAAAAGAAATTTAAGAAATTTAAAGAACAAAAGAAAGAAAGAAAGGGGGCACGTGAGAACTTTACTTGATTTAGGTTTAGGATATGATATACATATATAATATATTTATATATATATATATATATATATATATATTATATAACATAGTAACGGTTCGGTCCGGACTAGTCTGGTACAGCACGACCCTAAACCAGGATCGGACCAACAAATTACGGTTCCATAATTTTGGGCTCAAGACCGGACCAAACCGCTTTACAACTAGTCCAAACTACCAAATTTAGTACGGTCTGGTCCGATTTTTTGGTTTACCAGATTTTTTGAACACCCCTAGGTGGCAATACTTGACACGACATGCTAACGCCACACGAGATAAGTGGGTTTAGGTTTGGCTTAATCGTGTCGTAATAGTGTAAATCCGAATTGACACAATGATTAAATGTACGTGTCGTGTTCGTGTTTGATCTGCTAATCTGTTTATAACCTGATTAACCCATTAACTAAACGCGTCATGTTCGTGTTAAAAAAGGGCTGTTTAGCTAAACTTGTTGAATATTCATGTTAGAAATCACTTAAATGTGTTTTGTCATGTTGTTTCGTGTCGTGTCGTGTCATGTCTTGATCCATTTGTTAAACGGATTACGCGTGTCGTGTCATGTTACCCGTGTAATAATCGTGTCGTGTTTGTGTTAAGATTTCTTGACATGAATGTTGGGGCAGCGGAAGCTCGCGAAACACAAAGATCCAACAAAAGCCAACAAAACAATCACACACAAACACAAGATATGCATAGTTCAGCCAAAACCGGCTTACGTCCATGGATGAGAAGAGATTTCACTATGATTCATAGAGATATTACAACAATAGAGTACCAACACCACCACTCCATAAGCCTATTTTCTCTCTACCAGTGTTACCGGTGTTTTTCCTACTCTATCAACCCATATACTACCTCTACCCATCAATTCTCTCACGAGATTACATCTCTCTCATTCTCATTAGTCTCAACCAACAACATATGTACCTATTTATATAGTTACAAACACAATTCCTTGTCGGACAAGGATTACAATTCCTTAAAGGCCAAGACTTGCCAAATTAGAAATTACCTAATAGAATACAACTCTAAAATAGAATCCTAATTAAAATAGGAATTTGAGACATAATTTCCAACAATTTCCACCTTGGCCCAAATTCCATCCAGCCAATCATCTCTTTCACGGCACTGACCAGGACAATTCTTTTGCAGCTTCAATCTTGATGATACTCTTGCAACTCCGATTGTCCACACTATATGTTACTTAATCAGTCAAACCTCCAAGGCTCCACCTTGACCATTCAAGCTCCATGCCATGTAACCAAGCCGATTGACTCCACCTACAATTGAAGCCTCTTGCAGCACATGTTGAGACTTTTTGTGTTTTTTGGATCTCCTTCACCTTTGGCTCTGATACCAATTTGTTGGGCAACGGAAGCACGCGAAACACAAAGATCCAACAAAAGCCAACAAAACAATCACACACAAACACAAGATATACATGGTTCAGCCAAAACAGGCCTACATCCATGGATGAGAAGAGATTCCACTATGATTCGTAGAAATATTATAACAATAAAGTACCAACACCACCACTCTACGAGCCTATTTCCTTGCTACCAGTGTTACTGGTGTTTTTCCAACTCTACAAACCCATATACTACCTCTACCCATCAACTCTCTCATGAGATTACATCTCTCTCATTCTCGTAAGTCTCAACCAACAATATATGTACCTATTTATAGAGTTATAAACATAATTCCTTGTCGGACAAGTATTACAATTTCTTATAGGCCAAGACTTGCCAAATAAGAAATTACCTAATAGAATACAACTCTAAAATAGAAATCCTAATTAGAATAGGAATTTGAGACACAATTTTCAATATTAAATAATAATTGTGTCGTGTTCGTGTCGACCCATATATAACAGAATACTCATGTTCTCATACGACTGCCAACACGAATTGCCGCCCGTAGGTAGTAGTATAGTGCTTCAAGACAAGAAATTCAGCCTGATGAGCTAGTTGGTAAGGCCTTTAGGATACTCCTAAGATTGTTGGCCGGTTCGAGTTTCACGGAAGGTGAGCGTTTAAATTTAAATTATGGATAGGGATGGTAATGGGGGCGGGTTTGGGCGGGTGTACCCTCCCCTGCCCCCGCAACCGTTTAAAAACCCCACCCTCGTCCCTGCCCAAAACAGCAAAAACGGGGAGACTTTCTACCCCATCCCCGCCCCTGTTTAACATCTTTACTCCCGCGGGTACCCGCCCCACCCCGTTTAAGACCATAAATTCTCCTCCATTTAATTTTTTTTATCAACTAAAATTATATAATCATTGAAAAGATTCATAAAAAAAATAGACAATAAATAGTTTAACATAAAATTCAACATTAAAAACATTATAAATGGTGCACAAGCTACTTATTCCAGATTTTTAGATTTCGTTGCAAAACAAACTGTCTTAATATATATACTAATGAAATAAGGGTACTAATGATAAATATATATACTAATGAAATAAGGGTATTTAAGTAATTTAGCTTTCTAAAAGGGCCGGGGCGACCCGCACTGAATCCGCGCGGGTTTTCATTACATCAAACTATCCCTGCCCAAATAAGCTAAATGGTCCCCTAAAACCGCCAAAAACGGGGCGGAGTTAGGCGGGTACCCGCGGGGGTGGGGCAAATTGCCATCCCTAATTATGGATAGATATTGTTTTGCGGCCAATTAGTTGAGTTTGTATTTAATATCTATTTGAGTTTATGTTAAGCAAGTTTGACATATATGAAAACTTAAGATGAGCTAAAGAATCAATGGCAATGACTAAGAAGGATCTGTTTGAAATTGCCACGATGTTAAAGACTTAGGAGAAAAACCATTAAAGCTGAAAACCATGAAACACGAGAACAAAGAGGCATTACAGTCAAAATGAGCAAGTCATCAACAAGTCAACTCATGGACATCAATGAAGATCAAGATATAGGTAGATTGGCTTGTGTGAGTGATTAGAGTTTATTGTAGACACCCAATTCTGCCCCGGCACTTCCTGTACATGTCCAGGAAGGTCTAACCATTGAATCTAAAATTCCACTTAACCATGTGGATCGGAAAGTCCTAAAATTATCACATATACTAGAGATCAAACTTGACGATTCGCTTTAAACTTTCGATCATCAAAATACTAGTGCAAGGACAAAATCACATTTTGCCCTTTTCCACCTCAATCTTGTTATCAAAGTGACAAATGGACAACACTAGGATGTCCAAAAGGTCCATAAACCTTATAATGCACCTAAGGAAGGAGTCCCAATTCCTTCGAAAGGTCAAGACCACCCAAATCCCCAATATATGGGGTAAAATGGTCAAAACATACCATCGTCAGAAAATCCGACTAGTCCGATTATAAAACGGACAATACCAGGGCGCCCGGATCCTCCAAAAACCTCCTAAAGCATATATAGATTGATTTATAAATCTTTCCAGATGCCTTTTTATTATACTCTCAAGAATTGACGCTTCTAAGAGCATTGCCACAACGATATCACGTGTGTGGTATCATTTTTTTTCTTTTCATAATTGTGGTTTCGTGTGTGGTATCATTCCCGCATAAGGAAACATGAATTCACCTTAGTTTGGCAAATTTGGTACTTACTAGCCCGCATCACTAGGTGCGGGTCACTAAAAAAGTACAACAAATTCACGAGCCCGCATGATCCAATGCGGACCGTGCAATAGTTACATAGACCAGAATCCCAGATGCGGTCCAGTCTGTCCCACATAGAAAAACACTTTTAAGTGTTTAGTAATATTTTTTTTATAGTTTAGATTTATTTATTTATTTATTTTGTTTTTATATTTTTATAGGAAGTTTAGTTTTATTTAATTTCTTTGAGGAATTATTTTCCTTTTGCTATTAGGCCTCTTTATGTTTTTAATTTTCTTCTAGTGTTAGGTTTTCTTTTATTATAAATACGTGTATTTCCAAGCACATAATTAACTTTTATTTATTCAATTATCAATAATATATCAGATTTCTCTGAATTATCTCTTCGTTTTGTGGATTCAAAATATCTACTTTGTGGATTCAAAGTAAAATGTTCCTTGTGAGCAAATTTATCGCTTCCGCTTACGTCAGTTGGTATCAGAGCCTTGATTTACCCTGGGCTGATGACGATTGCTTGTTTTGGTAGCACCCACTTTGCAAACGATGGTCGTAGAGTGAAGGTCCCTTGGGCAGCCATGCATACTCAAGATTGGTTCGTTGCAACTAGTTTTGGAATTGGTGGCAATTGGGTTCGTAGTTCAGTTCGAGTTTGCACTGATGATGTGTCTCGCAACCAACCGAATATGGGTTATGTTCATGTTTATCCACGTAGGCGTCTAGCATATGCGGATTATTCCGATGATGAGGAGTTCGGATTTAGTGATAGAGGTAGACAAAAAAATCGTGGATATTTGGACAATCATGAATTTCAGGTAAAACTTGATCTTCTTACTTTCCATAGAAGTATTATTATTGAAGATGTCTTAGATTGGTTTGAAGAATTTTTCGAATATTTTGATGTACCTAAAAACAAGCAAGTTCCGCTTGTTGCCTTTAAATTGAAAGGATGGGCTTCAGTTTGGTGGGAACAAATATGCACTAACCGGAGGAGGCAAGGAAAACAACCTGTGCGGTTGTGGTACAAGATGAAACAACTATTGATGTCTACTTTCTTACCATCAAATTATGAGGAGTTGATGTTTCAAAAATATCAAAATTGTCGAAAAGAGAGTCCATCTGTCAATAAGTCTACAAAGAAAATTTACAAAAAAGATAGTGGCACCAAGAAAAATAATATTTTTGTTGAGGCAACGAATGATATTATTGAAGTTGATCAAGAGCAAAATTATGTTGCTTCACCTTTAGTAGCTGAGAATAATGAAGTTGACGGTACTTTAGTGGCAGTGGAGGCATCTCTTCATACAATTTTAGGGATTGAGATCATGGACCCAAGTGATGGCTTAAAAGAGCAAGATATGAAATACCACGTTGATGACTTGCTGAAAGAGTACATGCATCAAGATAGTAAAGGATCATTGATTTTCTGAATAAAAATATCTCTCAAACAATTCTCTCAATTAGAAAAATATATATTTTCAAGCCCTAAAATTTTAAGCGAGAAAACATATATTTATAGACTTTTGAAAGCCTAATTGTACTTGGAAAACAAGTCAATTTCGTGCATGATCGTTATGGTAAAAGTCTATGCAAAATAGGAAGTCAAAACAGACAAGGAAACAAAGTTACCAAAATCTACTAAAGACCTTAAATCGGTTCAAGTTCGCCACTAAGTTTTCGAAGAAAATAATTTTTGACACTTGAACTGGTTCAGGGTGGTGGAACCGATTCAAGTTGGCCAGTGAGTTTTCGAGGAAAACAACGTTGACACGTGAATTGGTTCAGAGTGGTTGAACCAGTTCAAGTTGGCTAGTGAGTTTTTTGAAGAAAATAATTTTTGAAGTTGGCCAGTGAGTTTTCAAGGAAAACAACGTTGACACGTGAACCGATTTAGGGTGGTTGAACTGGTTCAAATTGGCCAGACTTGAAAAACACCAATTTTGAAACTCCAAAGTGTCCTCACACACTCTCTTACCTTCCTAAAGCATTGTTCTCATCATCCCGGAGTGTATCGAAGTATGAACACGATCACTTCTTCAATTCTGCTTCCGATCTTGATTCTTGACAAGTCGAACTGAAAATTTACAACTCAATCGGACTCGTTTTGACAACGAAATATGCCAATTACAAATTTATATCTCACATTTATGTTACCAATGGACATAGTTAATGGGTTATGCTTGAAATTGATGGCCATGCATGCAATATTTTTGACTGGATTCTAACCATTTGATGTTTATGTTATGCAGGACCATCGAGAGCATTGGAGAGGATGTAGATGAGGTAAGTGAAGGAGACTTTGTCATCCCAACATTCATGTCAGATTGTGGAGAATGTGCAGATTGCAGATCCATGAAGAGCAACCTTTGTTCAAAACTCCCTTTCAAGGTGTCTCCTTGGATGCCTAGAAATGAGACTAGCAGATTCACGGACCTTAAAGGAGAAACTTTATACCATTTCCTGCATGTGTCAAGTTTTAGCGAGTATACAGTGGTAGACATTGCTCATGTAACAAAAATTGACCCTGGAATCCCGCCAAATAGGGCATGCCTCCTCAGCTGTGGAGTATCGACAGGTAAGAGGTTTGGATATTGTTATTTTTGGGCTTTATTCCTCGTTATAATTGAGATTAAGGCACAGACTCTCATTGTCTAGTCTTTATACACCATCATTAAATTTGACTTAGTAGTTTGAGCCATCACTTCTCTGTTGTTCTGCTTGAAACAGATCAGGAATGTTCACATTTTGAGCTGGCAAAAATTTTGGTCTTCCTGGCATGTTTTTGTCAATTTTGGGTCCTCTATTCCATTCTAGCTTTGCTGCCCTCTACCATATTTGATCAAAATCTTAATTGTATTTTCCCTATTTTTGAGACTTTCGATGCTAGAACCTGGATATATATATGAGCAAATTGCATATCCAATTATCATTCTTGATTTTAAGAACAAAATTCTGATTTTCGAGCATTTTATGTACACAGTAGAATACACTAGCAGAATAAAGTCAATGTCAATGGTAATTTCTGATGTCATGTTTGGCGGCAGTGAATTGGCGCCTTGGATTTGAGATTGGAGAAAATTTAGTACAAATTTTGAACTAAACTTCCTTCAATCCCAAATCCAACGACACCGATTCGGTGCTCCAAAAAATAACATGATTTTTTTTTTCCTCTTGTTCAGAGCAATAAAATATACTCCATAGTTGTCAACAACAACAACAAAAATAAAAAATATATATATAGAAAAGAAAAGAAAAAAGAAATAATCATTTTCAGGTCAGCTTCTGGTGTGGGATGACTCTGTAGCCTCAGGTTTTAAGACAGAAATCTCAAGGAATATGCATTAGTTGCCTTTGCATTATTGCATTTCTATTCTTTTGTCCGTGTCTCATAGTAGTTTAATCAAATTACTATAGACTGAGTAACGTATTCTATAATTAATGCAATATGCTCTTCTTTATTTTTATTCTATTTTGCTTATTGTACTTTCTCCATAGGGATAACTTGAACCTAAGATATACTGAATTTCACCCCATTTTTGTCACGTAAACCAAAGCACAGGGCATTTACACGATTAAATTATTGTCTGAAGCTTGAAATAATTAACATACAACATCAAGTATAATTTGCACTCTCAGGTGTAGGTGCTGCTTGGAGAACAGCAAATGTTGAAGCAGGATCCATTGTTGCTATATTTGGGCTGGGCGCAATTGGATTAGCGGTATAGTCTTGCAGCAAATAGCATAAGAATATTATTTTAATTATTTGATCATTTATGTAAATTTTTTTCTATTATTATTATACTTTGATATTGGATGGGTTGTTGAGAAAGCATTATGGCTATTATTTGGTGTTGTAGGTTGCAGAGGGAGCAAGACTGTGCGGAGCAAGTAGAATTATTGGCGTGGATGTGAACCCAGAAAAAATTGAAATGGGTAAATACAATTTTATGGATATTTTGGTTTTGCCACTATACATAGCATGCAACCCTAGAATGATCCTGTCAATAAAAATTAAAAGATTGAAGAGAGAAATTAAGAATGAAACAACACAAGGATATATGTGGTTCGACCACTACGGCCTACGTCCATGGCACATAAAGCCCTTTGGGCTACATCACTTTTATTATACTCTCTTAGTTTTGTTTAGAATGACCACCTCTTCAATGAATAGAAATGATAAATATGAAAAATACGTTAATGGAGGATTCGTAAAACCAATTCCATATATCCTAAGAAGCACGGATACGACACGGACACGGACACGGACACGTTGAATTATAAATATATATATATACATTATATAATTACTTAAAAGTTGTTGTTTTATAAAATAACTTTATATTAAACAATCAGATATTTATATTTGTATTTAGTTCAAAGGTTTAAACTCTTGCATATTTATGTTTCTTTGTTTTCTACTCTTTTTTAACCCTCTTTCTATCATTCTCTCTTTTTCCCGTCAAAGCACAATTCTTTTTCATTAGTAGGTTGATAACAAATAATATTACCCTTAATTTCTTAAAATACAACATCATAGGTTGATAACAAATAATATTACCCTTAATTTCTTAAAAGACAACATCATATATATATATATGATGTTGTATTTTAAGAAATTAAGGGTAATATTATTTGTTATCAACCTACTAATGAAAAAGAATTGTGCTTTGACGGGAAAAAGAGAGAATGATAGAAAGAGGGTTAAAAAAGAGTAGAAAACAAAGAAACATAAATATGCAAGAGTTTAAACCTTTGAACTAAATACAAATATAAATATCTGATTGTTTAATATAAAGTTATTTTATAAAACAACAACTTTTAAGTAATTATATAATGACCGTCATATTATTGAAAACTGTTCAAAAAGAGATATTCGGTTTTAATAAGACCAGATTTTAGGGGATATGATAGGTGTGTAAATATAGATAGTCAATGACTAAGATTAGGAATTTTTGTTAGTGTACAGCCTGTAGCTTCTGTTAGTGTACAGCCTGTAATTACAGCCTATAGCTTGCTGTTATAGCCTGTAGTTTCCTTTTGTTAGCCCCTTGTATTTCCTATTTAACTAAAGCATTGTAAACCATTCAAAGTACGGCAATATACAGATTCTTTTCAATCTTGAAATCGCCTATTTGGTATCAGAGCATCTTACCGATTCTTCTGGAAAAAAAAAACCCCTAGCCGTCTCTGTTTTTTTTTTTTTTTTTTCTTTTATCTCTTCCAAACAACCCTAATCACCATGTCTGATGATGTACCTGCGTCCAAGATCAAGACCTTTGAGTCCCAAGTCCAAAACTCTCAAACACACTCGGTCCAGATTACCACAATTCGACTAAATGGTGAAAACTTCCTTCGCTGGTCCCAGTCCGTGCGGATGTACATCCGAGGTAGAGGCAAAATCGGCTACCTAACAGGAGAAAAGAAGGAACCGAAACCTGAAGATCCATCCTACTCGACCTGGGATGTAGAGAATTCGATGGTGATGACCTGGTTGGTGAATTCTATGGAGGAGGATAACAATTCTAATTATATGTGTTGCCACACAGCAAAAGAACTCTGGGACAATGTCAACCAGATGTATTCAGACCTGGGAAATCAGTCTCAAGTTTATGAACTAACGTTGAAACTCGGAGAGTTCTGTCAAGGAGATAACAGTGTTACAAAATATTTCAACTCTCTAAAACGTTTGTGGCAGGACCTTGATTTGTTCAGCGATTATGAGTGGAAATCGCCTGAAGATTGCAACCATTATAAAAAGAAGGTGGAAGACAACCGCATCTTCAAGTTTCTCATTAGACTCAATGTCGAGTTTGATGAAGTGAGAGGCAGAATAATTGGACGACAGCCCCTGCCTTTAATCGGTGAAGTCTTCTTTGAGGTTCGAAGAGAGGAAAGTCGCAGGCTGGCCATGCTTGGAAAAAAGTTATCAAATGGTGCTGTTGAGACCTCTGCCCTGGTCGCATCTGAAGCGAATATTGGCAGGAAACATAATGAAAAGCCCCGTCTTTGGTGTGACCACTGCAACAAGCCTCGCCATACCCGTGAAACCTGCTGGAAAATTCATGGTAAACCAGCGAAGTGGAAGAGTAAGTAGGAAGGCAGATTCAACCAGGAAGGCAGATTCAATCGAGCCCCATCAGCTCATGAAGCCGAGGCACTTCCCTTCAGCAAAGAAAAGATGCATCATCTTCTAAAATTGCTGAAATTCAATTCCTCATCTGGTACTCCTAATACTTCTCTTGCTCAAACAGGTAACAACCCGAAGGCCTTATCTTGTCGTTCAAATTCCAGTGTTCTTCCATGGATCATTGATTCAAGGGCTTCTGATCATATGACAAGTTTTTCTCATTTATTTCAAACTTATTCACCCTGTTCTAGCTCTGAAAAAATCAGAATAGCCGATGGTTCTTATTCTCCTATTGCAGGCAAAGGTTTGGTAAAACTTTCAAAAATTATTGATCTTAAGTCTATCCTTCATGTCCCTAAGCTTGCTTGTAACCTTTTATTAGTTAGTAAATTGTCCAAAGACTCTAATTGTCGTGTTATCTTTTTTGAATCCTATTGTAAATTTCAAGAGCTTAGGGAAGACGATTGGCAGTGCTAAGATGATAGATGGTCTCTACTATTTTGAAGATGATATTTCAAGTAATAAAAAGGCTTAAGGTCTGAGTAGTTTTCATTCTATCCCTGTTAGAGAACAAATAATGCTATGGCATTTTAGACTAGGGCATCCTAGTTTCCCTTATCTTAAAAGATTATTTCCTACTTTGTTTGAAGGATCGGATTGTTCATCTTTTTATTGTGAGAATTGTTTTGTTTTTTATCAAAGAGTCATTGTACTACGTATTCTCCCAAACCTTACCAAGCATCAAAACCATTTTATTTGATTTATAGTGATGTTTGGGGCCTTTCTAGGATCACAACTCTTTCTGGAAAAAAATGGTTTGTGACTTTTATTGATGATCATACACGTTTGTGTTGGGTGTATTTAATTAATGAAAAATTTGAGGTTGAAAAATTATTCAAGGATTTTTATATGATGATTGAAAATCAATTTCAAACAAAAATTGGCATTCTTCATACTGATAACGGCACCGAATACTTTAATGAAGTTTTAGGAAGTTTTTTAACAGAAAAAGGAATTTTTCACCAATCCACTTGTGTTGACACGCCCTAACAAAACGGAATTGTTGAAAGAAAGAATAAACATTTACTTGAAGTTTCTCGTGCCATCATGTTTTCAATGAATGTTCCTAAGTATTTGTGGGGTGAAGCCGTTTTAACAGCAACATATTTGATTAACAGGATGCCTACTCGTGTTCTTAACTATTTTACACCCCTTGAAAGCCTTAAAAAATCTTTTCCTGAAACTCGGATTTATTCTAACCTGCCTTTGAAAGTATTTGGGTTCACTGTCTTTGTCCATTTACCTAGTAGACTTCGGTCTAAATTGGATCCTCGGGCTGAAAAATGTGTATTTGTTGGGTATGCCCCGAATAAAAAGGGTTACAAATGCTTCAATCTGAAAACAAAAAAAATATTTATCAGTATGGATGTCTTTTTTCTAGAAAATCATCCTTATTTTCAGAAAACTTTTCTTCAGGGGGAGAAAGAGAGTGAAGAAATTTTTTGGGAGATTTCTATTAATATTCCCTTACCTAAAACTATTGTCTCACACTCTATTACTCCAAACACTGATCTTTTTAAACAGGGAAATGATGTTCTAGAATCAGGAAACCCGGGGCCTCCTAGTCCTAATCTACCGAGCCTTACTGTATCTCCAACAGGGGGAGAAATCCTACCAACGGTTCCAAAAAAACCGAATCCTAAGCTTCTGGTTTATAACAAGAAAAAGAATCATCAAAAGAGTAGAGAGCCTACTATTGTACCTGAGCAAGGCCAATCAGAGGTCCCAAGCAATGACTCCCTGAACACTTAAGGTACTCTAAATCCTAACTTGTCTGCAGTTGTCCCTACTATTTCTGATAGTACAGAGTCACCTAGCCAAGTTCCTGTAGACCTTGATATCCTTATAGCTGTTAGAAAAGGAATCCGAACCTGTACCCAGCATCTCATTGCCAAATACTTGTCTTATGATAAACTTTCCCATAAACATAGGGCCTTTACTTCAAATATTTCTCACTTGTTTGTTCCAAGAAACATTCAGGAAGCATTAGATGATCCGAATTGGAAATCAGCAGTGTTAGAGGAGATGAATGCTCTTAAAAGGAGTGGAACGTGGGAGATGGTTGACTTGCCCAAAGGAAAGAAAACTGTTGGGTGTAAATGGGTTTTCACTATTAAGTGTAAAGCTGATGGTAGTGTGGAAAGGTACAAGGCAAGACTTGTGGCGAAAGGTTTTACGCAAATGTACGGCATTGATTACAAAGAGACGTTTGCTCCTATAGCAAAAATAAATTATATCCGAGTCTTATTGTCGTTGGCAGTCAATTCTAATTGGCCATTACATCAGTTGGACATAAAAAAATGCCTTTTTAAATGGAGACTTGGAAGAAGAAGTGTTTATGAGCTTGCCACCTGGGTTCGAAGGAAAACACGGTCAGAGCAAAGTCTGTAAACTCAAAAAATCCCTGTACGGTTTGAAATAGTCTCCAAGAGCGTGGTTTGAATGCTTTGGAAAGGCTGTGAAGAGTCATGAGTGTTGCCCAAGTATAGACTCTAGAGGAGAGGTGAATAGAGTCTTTGGCAAACAATGGCTAATTTTCCAATTTGTTAATTATACTAAACCCTTCTAACAATTATGCCATAATCAAGATATAAACATAATCAATTAATAGCATAAATATAAAGGAGACAAGGGAAGAGAGATTGTAAACATTCACATGGGTATTTTAGCGAGGTTCGGAAACTCCTACTCCTCGGCTCAAAACCCCTCTTAAGACTTCCCAATCCACTATGGCTTCTCCTTACAG